TATAATGTACGGGGTGTTTGAACCTCATAGATGAATCATAACGTTATTTCGGAACCACAGTATGAACCCAGACGAAAAAAGACATGTATCTTTTTTGTAAAAGTCTTCGACACTACACTCTGTACAGATCAATTATTTACGGCAACAAATCAAGACTGGAACGAGAAATATTCGCTTTTTTTCAACAATTTTTTTACAACGGCGTCTTTAGTCCACACCTTCACTTGTTTAATTTCATTAGGCTACCTATTTCAAGGTGATCTAATTCGTCGGTAATCTTTACTGCGCTTTTCAATCTAGATTTAGTCGCAGAGGAATTGCGAACGGTCTGAAGTGAATCTTATAGAAATTTCATCAGAGAAAAAAAATCGGATGGCACGCACCACAAATTACGTGATAACTACAAACGGTATTATCAGAGAGATACTGCATAAAAATACCACTACATGCAAATATTATGATAGTCTATTTTTTTTTAAATTGCAATGTCCTCTAACTGCTTAATCAAATTTGACCCTTGCCCACAAGAGAATATCAAAACAAAAAAAATGATATGGCAAGAAAAACACCTAAGAGAAAATATTTACTCTCGATTTCGACGTGGATAATATTCCCGCACTGTATGTATGCCGTTTGCGGAAGATCGGCAAGCCACTAATTAATCATACGATAAAGAAACGACTAATAAAATTTCTTAATTGTAGTTAATTATACATTTTGAAGGTCAACCGGTTCATCAACAGCACATAAGCCGTATTATCAATTAGGAACTTGGATTCCATCATATTTATGACAATTTTCTTCAAAATCAGCTCGTCTTTTGTTCGGGTACAGATATCCGCATATTTTTGTCTCAAGTGACTAAGGTTTACACCTAAAGTACTTATTTTTTTTAGTTTACTTTGAAGGACTAAAGTGATATTTTTAGTTACCGATTACTAAAGGTCAACAAACATCATTCACTAGTAGACCAGGGTGCCATTGGCCAATGCTTGTAGGTAACTTTTATTTGAATAACGGTAAAATTTTATAAAACTGACTTTTAGTATTTTTTTTTAATTTTTGCTGATTGTGAGATAGTAAGAACACAATAATATGTACCATGTTTGGCCATTAAAATCAAAGGAAAATGTTGCACCACAAATAAGTTACAGACATTATTTATATTTAATATATTTATAGGTATTTGTATTTCAATGTTATCCCTTATACCCAACATTACAAGTTTTAATCATTCATCACTTTCAATTTCCTCTACGACAAAAGCCTTTTCAAAAATATATTTACAATTTTACTAGATGCACGAGCATAAAAACTGAATAAATACAACAGCAAAAATATGGTGGCAATCAACTGAAAGTTGCATTAATTCAACCATATTGATGTTCTTTGGGAATATATTTTTATGTCTCACTAAAAGTTTGTCTCAGTATTCTAAAAGTAAAATGTGAATGTTTTTAGGAAGCCTGGGGATGGTGCAATAAGAAAGAAATGGTTACAGTAATTGGGATTCCAAGAATTTATAAAAATACTGAGTAGCTGTTGAAATATATTGACTTAGGACTATAAAATATTTTATTTTGACCCTTCCAAAACGTAAGACATTGGAGACGTAATCGCGCGCATCAGTTGGATGAAAATAAAGCCCTCTGCTTTTCCCTTGTCTAGCTTCACCCAACACATGAGACAGACTGTGACATGCCTTGCCCCCTTTATTTAAATGTCCTTGGGTAAAATATACAGTATATTTAATGCATAAATAATAAACTTTGTTTATAACAAAACATCTGCAATTAGACAGTTGGCATTACGATATTCGAATTCCTTGGCTCGCGAGATATCGGATTAAAAAAGGATCGAAATTGGTCCATTGGAAGTCGAGATAATGCAATTTTTTTCGTACCTTCGCATTTGAACTTCCGATTTCAGTCTCGGAGCGAAAGCCCCCTCTCCACTTTTCGTGTTTTGAGTCACTTTTCGCGCGTGTGAGCGACAGTTTTTCCGATGTTCTATGTTGCCGATAACTTATGGATATAAAAATTTTTTCCAGCTTAGAAATCGGAAAAACGAAGCTACTGGATCAAAGATCATTGCTAAATTGTTTATAAATTAACGGTAAATGCCGATAAACTTTGACCGCTTCTCGAGAACCAATAAATGGAATTTAACTTTTTTTTAAGCGTCTTTCCGAGTACTTTAAAATTATAATTTTTGAAAAAACTAAATTGCAAATTGATAAATGTAATCTAATTGTTTAAAAATAAAAAAAGAATGCTAACTTTAAAAATTTACTGTGGCCGTCCTAATTAAACGATTTCAATTTTTCAAAAACCATTTGAAAGGTTGAGTGGTCTTTTCTACGTGAAAAAATTTTCAAGTATCTAGATGCTTTAGTTGAGCCTGTGCAACATTTTGAAAATTCGAAAATTTTCCTCAAAATTTTTTAAAAAAATTATTTTGCGAAAACTATACAACCGATTTTAATGAAATTTGGTGTGCTGTTTTATTTAACTCTAAAGTTTTTTTTACCAAAATTAGAATGCGGTCGGAGCAATTAAAATATTTTTAAAAAATTATCCAAAAAACTTGATTATTTTAACCTTTTTTTCATCAATTATTGCTATTTTGCAACATCGGTAATAAATTTAAACATTTTTAACTTACATTATATTGTGCAAAATTCAATTCTAAAACTTTTTTTCCTCATCAATATTCTCCCAAAATGCATAGGTTCCAAGATATAAGTAAAAAACTCAGATAAAATAGGTATTTTTTAAAATTTTTGCAATTTTGAAAATGTTCCGAACCTCGTCCAGATCTAGGGATCTACACTTTGATTATGCGAGTTGTACTGAAGGTATTCCAGCAAAAATTAGCTTGCAGCCTTTCACATCCAAGAAGTGGATATACTAAATGTGTGGATATACTAAAATTTGGTGTTAGCACTCTGTGCACCAAACGTATCTATTCTGAAAATCTAAATTTTTGAATTAAACTTATTTCTGATACACTGAGTTCATGTGACGCTGACGAATTTTCGAGTGTAGCGCCTGTTCTAGGACGGAGAAAGGGCGGGAGCTGCTAATACCTCTCACACCACCTACAAGGGTTAACACATCGTGTGAAGCACCACTTGACTCTTGTTAATCTTAGAATGAGCAGCGCATGTTCCTCTAATTCGGGAATTGGCCGACATTACGATTTACCGTTTTCTGGAAATTAGGATACTCTTACGTTCCATTTCGAACCACTTTCTCCGATCCGTGACCTCACTAGAATGATTTATTTTCTTATTAACTAGGACTCCCAAGAAGAACTAAAAAATTCGGATAAGACAAACAAAATGATACACACTTTACAAGAGTATTTCTTATTCTCTCGATACGACATCGAGATAGCGGACAACCTGCCAATTACAAACCCAACATTAGCAAATAATTACGTTTGGAGCGTGGTAACATATTTCGAATACGTAATTAAGCAGGCTCTTACATAACGCGGAGATTTACGCATGTAATAACGATAATTCACGATATATTTCTTCTACCAACAACGGTCTTTACTGCCTATATAGGTCGCGGTTGATTAGGCGTTATTATTTGATACGCTCGTCTTCCTTATCACCAATTATAATTACGAAACTTACTGGATTCTGCCCCGGTCTCCACGGCGGCAGTGGCTGTCTGCGCTACTAAAAAAAATGTTTTCCTTTACCCGTTAATACAAGTTTATTTTTCATGTTGGTTTCTCGCACGTGAAATTAAAAATATACAAGGTTAATCAATAGCAGCCAGATTACCAGAAAATACTACATTTAACAGAAGTTACTACATCTTATAAATAATTGTATATCAATCAAAGTGTTTGAAGTATAAAGCACTTTAGTAATAGGTCTGTTTCGACAGTCTTTAACAAAAGTTCTTAAGAATTGTACTTTAAGTACTAAAGTATTTAGTCAAGGAGTTTAAAGTACAAAGCTTAAAGACAAAAAAATAAAAATACTTCAAGCATTGTGCTTAAAGTACAAAAAAGACTGAGCCTGATTGAGACCAATTTTATGAAACACCCAGTCGATTTTGTAGATTTAAGGATTTTTGCAGACGTATTATCAAGCCTTACGTCAAAGTGCTTGACGTACAAAGCACCACATAGAGATATTTGAAAGCGTTGTGCTTTAAAACAGTATCAACATTCAGTCAATATTGTGGAATTCTCTTTATTGATACATTAGCAAGCATTCCATTAAAGTGTTTGAAGTACAAATCACTTTGGTGGTAGGGCTATTACGACAGATCATTAAAAAATGTGCTGGATTTAAATATTAAAAACACTTTAAGAGTAGAAATAGTGATTTGTAAATTGTAAGCATTCAGATAAAGTGTTTGGAGTACAAAGCACTTTGGTAGTGGGCCTGTTCCGACAGTATTTAACAAAAGTACTTCAAACACCAAAAGTTATCTTGAAATACTAATTAGCAAACATTCAGTCCAGGTGCTTAAAGTACACTAAATATCAGTTTTTTTGTAAGCACTAACTTAAGCATTAAATCAAGGTGCTTAGAGTACAAAACAACAAATACAGACTTCTCAAAAGCATTTCAAGCGTTAAAATATTAAACATCAAGCACTTCGTCAACGTATCAAATGTTTTCAAACAGGATTTACTTGACTAGAAAGTGGTGCTTGACGTACAAAGCACCAAGTATCTGTACTATAAGCACATTTTAAATTTTTTCTTTCAAAACACTGTCCGGTTCTGACATGGGGCACATAATACGGGCCTCAGTCCACGAAGCGCTTCGAAGAGATCCAGCTGCGGCGCGTCGTCGCTACGTAGCCACCTTAAACGAAGACCCGGCGACCACCACCACCACCACCACCACCGGGCCCTTTTCGCTAATTGCCTCGCAAGGTACCACCGCCGTCGTCACGTGGCCATCACGGTGCGTGTGCCACAGTTACACAATCACACCGCGATGCGTGCGTGGCGCCACCAAGTGCGCATGATCCGGTGGGCACGTCCTCCAACGCGTTCTGCGACTCCACTTGGCGTGCGAACCTCGCGGATGATAGTCCTCACACAAGTCGTTCTCCGTTTCTCGCGCTCGAAACTGCGCCACCAGCGTGTTGTTTACCCGCCCGCACACCAGTGTGCCGAAGCGATACTCCACCGCGAAGGGGATGTTGTTGTGCATCGGGGAGTGAGTTATAGTGTGCGAGATAAAAAATAAAAAGGAGTAGTTCTCCCACAGAGTAAACCGCGACCGTCCGAACAGTTACCGGTCAGTGCGGGCGAGTGCGGCGGGAACTGCGCCTCAAGTAAATTTAGCCCGGTGCCGCCGGCCAAGAGGACGATTCCCACGGACGCCGCCTAGCAGCAGGAGCTCTCTTTATGAACGGTCCGTACGGGGCCTGGCCGGTCAAGATGAACCTCAACATCATGGAGCCCGTGGCGGAGCACGGCGACGGCTTCGAGCCGCAGACGCGAGCCCGCTCCAACACGTGGCCCCTGCCCAGGCCGGATAACTACGTGGAGCCGGGCGAGGAGGGCGGCGGCAACAAGTGCCCGGTGCCGATGCCGGCCGCCGCCTCCGCCTCCGTACCGGCCAAGAAGAATTCGAGCCGCAGGAACGCGTGGGGTAACCTCAGCTACGCGGACCTCATAACGCAGGCCATCACCACCTCGCCGGACAAGAGGCTCACCCTGTCGCAGATCTACGAGTGGATGGTGCAGAACGTGCCCTACTTCAAGGATAAGGGCGACAGCAACAGCTCGGCAGGATGGAAGGTTGGTGGTTCCCTTAAAAAAAAAGCGCCCGAACATTTTACACAGTCGAAGAAATTGTAACATTTTTTGACCCGTCATCAATTTATTGAAGACGCAATTGAATTTTTCAGTGAATTATTTTGATTTAAAGATGTAATATCAACAGTGACAGCTGAGCAGGATAGAAGGCTGGCGATTCCCTTAAAAAAAACGCCGGAAGCTTCACTTACGACACAGTTTTGCACAGTTAAAGAAATTTATACATTTTTCGTCCTTCAAACAATTATTTTGTGTAATACACATAATTGTCCCCAATTTATTGATGAAAATAAATTCATGGAGACGTTCTAATAATAGGAATAGAATTTTTCACCGAATTCTGATAAGATTTTGATGTAAACTTATAATGCCAACAGTCTATGCGATGAAATTGATTTAAAGTGGTCCTGATCTTGGAACTGTTTATTTACCAAATTTTTCTCTTAGTTATAACCAAGATCTTACCCACCAACGCGCTGTTTTGCTACCAAAAGATCAGTCTCTAATCTCTGAGATAAGTAGCAGCGTCACTGTTTGTTTCCATATCAATATCAGTCTTGGCATTAAACAAGCAGAAGATACAGTAATGTAATAAATTAGTTATGTTTTATCACCTTTTTCATAAATTCTTGAATTTCTTTGATCATGTAAAACGGTTAATTCGTACTTACAAAGTGACTATTCAAAAATCAACCCAATTACCCAACTCAAAACGCTAACTTTTCAATTTAAACCCGTTAAAGCAAGTATTTTGTGATATCTTTTATCCTACTAACGGTATGTGTTTGGAATTTTGATATTTTTACGCACAAGGTCATCGATATTATTTACCAAATTAACCTTATCATGTTCGATCGAAACAGTTCGAAGACATCCTTTTGACCTGCGGCAACTTTGATAAAACCATCAAAATAACCGAACTTCTATCATTAATAGGTCTATTATTCAATTAAATGGTAGACAGACGAAAAATAATATATTATTTCACATTAAAAAAAATTATAAAATTCCCAGCGCACACCAAACGTCATTGTTTTCGTACAACTTATCTCATTGTGTAGATCTAGTAAGTACTTGTCAGCGTTACAAACAAAAACGACACGGTAGGGTAGCATGTTTGATTTGTAAACAACTATATGCAATTAAAGTTTTAGCTCCAGTAAAATTCCAAGGATCACTATACCAAAGCCTTTAATTGTCATACAATTAGAACTGTTAGGTACCGACGACAGTAGCTGTCATCCTAGTAACGATGTTAGTTGATACCATCTACAAATCCCTTCCAAGAAAGTTCGCTCTAAAGTGTATAAATAAGTCTAGTTGGTTCTACGGTCAAAGTTCGAAACTTGCGAATAACATACACAAACAGAATTCTACGTCAAGCGTATCGTGCTAAATAAAAATTCCGCGGACCGGTATTTTTTTTAATGCGATGTTTTCTAAACTTATTTATCCGAGCTCGTTAGTTAGCGGATTCGCAACTGTTCGCTTTGTTTTGCAGTTGATTTCACCAATCACAAACCTTGCATCGATCACGTGTCGTCGACGACATAGACGACCACGACCTATTGGATTTGTATAACGATTTTCGCGTAAAATGAATTTACACGCATTAAACTTTGATGTTGCTCAGATGTATACTTTGCAGATAAAGACGCTCAAACATCTACAACACCTGTCGTACAATTCTTGTTTGTTTTTTTTTGACCGGGGAAATTTTCCACACTTGCCAAACATTGTTTATTTGTAAATATCGAGAAATCCGCGCCCACCAGTCTAGTTTTAAGATTTAATCGACGGTTTCTGAAAACGCGACGTACAATTCGTATAAAAAAATAACAATTAGAGTCGATAATTACCGAGCGTTAACCGTAATTGCCGCCGTGCTCTATCTGTCACTGTCAAAGCCGACTGAGACATTTAAATTTATAATTAAACCGATGGTAATTGCTAATCAACATATATTTATGATTAATAGACGAGTTGCTCTACTCCCTGGTTGACTAGAAAATGAAAACTGTGGTATGAACAAATAAAATGTGATAATTCTCTATTGATTCTTATTTTTAGTAAAATTAGAATTGTAATTGCTTCTAGTTAATTTAGAGGACCTCAAGGATACATATTGGGGCTAGCATGTTGCTAATTTCTGTTGTATCAAAGAGGAATAATATATACGTGAGGAAATCCAAATGTCACTCGTGAAACTTCACATCGAATCGTTTACAACGACGTACAGTTTCCGATTTAAAAATCCGGGGAAAGACCGGGTGTGCCGACCACAGCCGCACTATTTTGTTTATATTTTCGCCCGCAGGAATCGTACCTGCGGGCGAAGCTGCTGCGGTTTGGATGGCAGTTGGCTGTGAAAAAGTTGAAAGATTACACGTGGACGACAAGGCTGCCCGCCTGGAACTCCAAGAGCGTCAAGTAGTCAAGGCCAGCTAGACGTTCTCGGTGAATACGAATTTGATATTCGTTATATAATGTGGGGAATAGTACGGTCACTGAGGTACATTACGAGGATGGATTTGGAAGAGTCCAAGCGATTTGGCTGGAGAAGAGCGTTTTTTAATTTATTTCGCGGTTCCTGGAATAATACAGTTTGCTAGTAATGTACGACACAAACTCTAGTTAGTTGTATTTTATATATAAATTATTGTCAACAATGCTATTGTGGAAAACTTTTAAATATTCTTTTCGTGTGGGTGGCAGCAAAAACTTAATCGTTTATTCAAACCCAAACGAAACTGAAAAACAACACAATAAAAAATGTGCAGAGGAAAGTACAGTGCTGTTAAATTAATGATTTACTTACATTTGTTAGTATCGGTTTTGGCGAATCCCTGGAACCCGTAATAATTTTGACGTCCATCTTCTATAGTTGTAGGAAACGCCGCACGAGTTTGTACAGCAGACAAATCGTTTAAGCTTCTGAAAACATTCAAATTAAAGTGCTATCAGTATTTATACCATCAATTCCTTGCATGCGCTCCAACAAAAACAATAGGTTCGCGGAAAATTTATCAAAACAACGGCACGGCATAATACTATGACCTGGGTTTCAGAGAGAATTAGAGAAACAGCTACGCGTTTGTAGATAGAACGTAGATAACTTAATTTTGATGTAATTTTATGGTTATTTACGTACAAATTGTTAGTGTGTGATTTAAGCAGGTTCGCCGATGTCCGAACAAGTGATAATATTATTACCAAGTCTATTTTTACAAGCCATTACCCATTAATAGACACCGCGAGAGGGGTCACTGAATAACAGCGTGAGCATAATTGGTAATAAAGGACGAAATTAAGGGAGACACTGTGCAGAGTTAGCGAACTTTTCCGCGAAACAAACGATCCCTCTTACGTAGTTCTTACGAAAAAATTTTAGCTGGTCGGATACAGCAGACTCCTGCGAACGTCATCCGAGTTTTTTTTTAAAGGTTGTCGCGCTTTGATCGTCGATATAATTCCCATTAAATAATAAGTAATGTACAATTGTATATGCGATACATTGTTTCAAATTTTGAATGAGTGTTAATGAGAATCGGGTACTTCATTATTATTTTTTACCCAATATGCATAAATAAATGCCATGAGTTGCAACAGAAACCTGCCAATAGCCCACGAGTATGCTGAGTTTATTATTTGTAAGTTGACAGTCCTTGTCATGTATATACGATGCTATGTGATCGCTCGCACAGCTGATTGCTATAGGTAACCCATAGGATGAAGAACAGATTCGATAGAAAGAAAAATTTGTGACCAAAAGAAAGTATGAGCCTTGAGAATTAGAACAGAAAATAGCAAACGCAGGAAAAAAGCTGTTGAAGAAGAGTACATGGCACAACACATGCAGTGCTCTTCTTGCAAAGAACTTTTACGTATTTTAGATTATCTACAAATTGTGATCACGAAGTGATTCGCGTGGAAAAGTTTTAGTTACATGCATAAGTAGCATACTACTATGATGCACTTCTGTGAATACAAATGTTCCTTATAAAACAAGGGTTTAACGTGACCGCATTTATGAAAATATACAATTTGATATATGGTGAGTTTTTTGCGATGTTTAATGTAGGGATCTGGGAAAGTAGCAGAGATGTAAAAAAGCTTAAATGATGAAAGATATGCAGTTTTATGATCCTTATTAAATGTTGCTTTTATTTTTTGAAAAAACGTCATGGCTAACTAGATATTTGGAAAAATCCAAATTCGGCCAATTCCTTCATATGCGTGTAGCTCCGTTGCTATATATTTTACAAAAAAATTTTAAATTACAAAGTTTCAGATTTTTGCGATGTTAATAAGACAGTGTGATCAAATCGTTCGTGTGCACTTTCGTTTTCAAGTTATAACATAAACTTCTAGTTTTTTAAATGTAAACCATACAAATTTATTTAAATATTCTGAAATTGTTTAAACAACAATTATTTTCAAAATATGACGAAAATTAGTAATATAATGAATTAATTTCTCATTTGCTTATATTTTAAACAATAAATAATATTTTAATTATACTTTAATCACAAAAAAAAATAATATTATAAAAATAATCTTTCTTCCCTTATATATATTAATTTATTATACGAAATATACGAGTATACGAAATATATTATTTCGTATTCGAAAAATACGTCCTTGAAAACAATAGATACACGTATATACTGTTAGGAAAAGAATCTCTACAACCTGTATATACAGTGTTATTTTTTTAAAACCTGACATAGGCCAACTTTTTTCCAAATGCAAAGTTGTAGGAAATAACTTGATTAAGAAAAATTTACAAATAATTTTTCCCGGTGTTGCAATTTAAAAAAATATCGTTTTAGTAGCTACTGCAGAAATCTGGCAACACCGGAAAGAATTATTTGTAAATTTTTCTTATTTTTTTTAAAGAAGCGTTTTTCCAAGAACTTTTAAAAAACCTGCTTTAAAAAATTTGATTTGATTGAATATTCACAAAGTTATTCTAAGTGTTT